GATTAAAGCCTCGGGATACTACTCCGTTTGGCCCCCGTGAATTTTTAATGAGTATCAAGCTTCCCAGAAACATAAGTACTATAATCGGTTGTCAAGATGATACTTCTTCTTCAATTGAAAATGGAGACAACTGTGTGAGAACACAGACAAGAGATAGAAAGACAAAGTGGAAGAAGGGATAGTAGGTGCAAAGGTAGGAAGAAAAAAAAGTTAAAGAGACAGAGAATGTGTGAGGAAGATCAAATCGATAGTGAAAAGTTGTCAAGCTTCTTTGTTCAAGATGAATGCTTTCCTCTCAAATTCAGTCGTTATTATAATGAGAATCTATTTTCATTAAAATAGCTTGCAAATTTGTCTTTTCAAACTTTCCAATTTCTGTCTCTAAATCAAAGCAAAAGATATTTTATTGCAAAATCGTACACACAATTATTAAGAACGAGCCATTTGCCAAAGAATTTGCAAAAATGAACGAAAAAGGATTTTAATAACGATTACATCGAACGAAAGCTTGCTTTTTAATTTATACAAATTTTTGAAAACTATTTTAAACCATTCTCTGAGTTTGTCAAAGGATATTAAGGAAATAAAATAATTTTAAAATTGATGAAAGAAAATAATTGTTTCTGACCACTGTAAACATTTTTATTTTTTTTAACAGAGTTTTTTTTTATAATAAAGATTTAACCGATACCAAGTTTTTATGATCGTTAAAATTAAAATCGTTAAAATAAAAATCTAATAAGATTGATAAAAAAATTGCTCGAAATATTTTAATCTCTTCAAAGTATGTTATTTGTATTAATACATGTATGAAAATTTAAGGGGTTACATGGGTTTCACGGATTCAAAAAATCGATTTTTTTTTTGTTGCTTATTAAAATCTACAACATCTCTAGAATATTATCCGAAAATTTTAACTTGATCCGAGTAATAGTTTCAGAGATACAGCCTTTTAAAGTTGCGCGCTCAAGGCTACCTGCTGGGCTCCGCTTGCTGTAGGTATAAAAGAGCAGCTGCTCGCCTATTGTTCATTCGTCCTTGGTTATTTTTCTCATCTTCTAAGGGTAAATAGTTGAAATACTTCATTTGGTGATTACTTGTTGAACCACGAGGTTTATTTTGAGGTTATAAGTGTCCAAAGTAAATTATATTTAAAAATGCCTAAAGTTTCAAGATCTCAATTAGTGGACGGTGCTCGTAGAAAAGATTGACCCAAGAAACGGAGACAGTCGTTCAATCCTAAAAATCCTGAGCAGCATGATGATTCTTTCATCGTTCAAACACGATTATACACCATTACCAGATGATGTTTTGACTGCAATAAAACCTATTTACGAAAATCTGAGTAAGGATGATCTTTCGGAGCGATGTGTTGGTGGTTTTACACAAAATAGCAACGAAAGTTACAACCAGTTGATCTGGAAAATTACTCCAAAAATACTTCCAGCTGGTTCTAAGATCGTTGATATTGCTGCATTGACTGCTGCTTGCATTTTTAATGAAGGAACATCATCATTATTATTAATCATGCACTGTATGGACTTAAAACTTGGCCCAAATTCCCACGAATATGCCCGAAATGCTGACGAAAACCGTATCTGTGCCGCCGAGAAAAAATCTGCGAAAGAGACTCGTGAAGCCAGGATTCGTCATAGACAGGAACAAAAGGATGCCGAGGACATTGCAGATGCAGCAGATTCATTACTTTATGGCTCAGGAATCGACGATTCAATGTAAGTCAAGAAAAAAAATTTTTTTTCCTGTTCTATGGTCACTCAAAACTTTAAACGTGTTTTTCTCAAAACTATGTTTTCAAAGTCGGTTGTCAAGATTTCTCGAAGGCTACTCCACCAATCTCGATGAAATTTTAAACAGGTCTTCGAGATACAATTTACAAGGACTTTGACGAAGGATTTTTTTTTTCAATTACAACTATTTTTTTTTTTTTAAATGCCGCGGAATTTTTAGTGAATTCTGCATTTTTTTTGTAAAAACCGCTGTCAAACATCCAATTTTCATTTTTTTTTCCTTCGTCCAATTTCTAGTTTGAAGCCTTAACTAAAACAAGTATTTTTTTTTTTCACTTCAGATGATCCTGCTTGGAGTTCTGCTGTCTACGCGAATGCACCTTTTTTCCGAGGGCTCGCCGGTAATGACGTCACAATGGCGAAGTTTTTAATATTTTTTTTTTTAAATTTCAGAAAATGTTTATTAAATATGTATCTTTAAGATAATAAAAAATTTGAATCAAATATTTCATATATTATATGAAAAAAAAATCTTGAAAATACGCCGTTTTTACCCGGATGAAACCCATGTAACCCCTTAATTCCAATAGGAAAATTATTTTCACTAAGAAATGTCTACTACATAAATAAACAGAATTATTACTAAATTTTGTGATAAAAAAATAAATTTTAATTGTTATGAAATAATTAGTATTAGATGTATTTTATTTACAGTAAATAACAATAAAATATAAAAACTGCCTCGTTATTAATAAAATGAAAAATTTTGGCCCCTGAAGTGGTTAATAAATGAAATTAATTCGATGTCCTGTTATCTAACCTGCAAGCCGACGAAGTCAAGTTTTTAATTAAAACGTTTAAGATCGTGCTAAATTAAGGTGTAAGCAATCTCGACACCTCGCATTTTATCGCGTTGGCAAGTAACGAAATCTCGTAAGAAAAAAAAGCGAATAAAACAAAGACCTCGTTGATTACTTTCTAGAAAAAAAAAGAAAAGAAAAGAAATAAGTCAAACGTTTTTATCGAAAGAGAAGAAAATAAATCGAAAAAGGGTAAGTTTGTTTTTCTGACATTTTCTTCTACTTTTCTCCCCCTCTCTCTTTCTTTCTCTCTTTCTCTCTCTCTCTCTCTCTCTCTCTCTCTCTTCTTTTCTTTTCTCTTTTTCTTTTTCTTATAGTATCTTTCCTTCCTAAGCAATATTTCATCGTTGACCAAAAGCCATTGCTACGGGGTTGAGATCTTTTCCTGAAGCTTTACTTTTACCACTAACAAAACTACGCACTCGGGAGAAGTTTTACAGTTTCTCTGGGGACATTCGATCACGTTCGTCATAAAAGCTCAATGTTAGAATCGACGAGAATGAAACTTCTACACAAGTATGAATTAAAAAGCTAGATTTCAGTTGAGAATATCGCTCGTTGTCGTTACTCTTATTGAATACTAAACTTCGATCGGTGTTCTTTTATCTAAAATACATAAAAACTCATAACACGATAACAAAATATACGTCAGTAAAAAAATATTTTGAGAAAAAAAAATACCGATACGAATCTCGCGATAGTACTTTCAATTGAAAAACTCTTTTTTTGTCGTCAGTTAAAAAATATAAAAAAAAGTTTTGAAAAACAATATATTAGTAGATAAATGTTGCCTGAGATATTTTCTCGTAAGTAAAAGAAAATAAATGAAAAAAAAAAGAAAAAAAGAGAGGTAAAAAAAAAGAAAGAAAGAAAGATCGGAGCTGGTGACAAAGCTCTTTCTTCCTGATCAACGAGTCCGATAAAACTCTTTGCAGCATCGATCCCGGAGCCTTGCATGTTATATCGGCTTATACGAGAGAAAAAGAGACAGAATGACGAAGAGAAAAAGAAAGAGGTGCTTGTTTGAGCAGCAAAATTTATAGCTGAATTTGCAAAACGCTTCCAGCCTACCAACGGTACTAGTAGTGGTATAGCATGCTATATCAGGCAACGCTGACGGCTCTTCTCAACTTCTTAACTTGGGAGTTCCTTGAACAGTTATAATTCGATGAACCTGACTGCAGGCTTTGTTCTAAAATATTGAAACATCGGCGGTTATGAATATTGTTTTAAGACTTTGATTTTCTCAAAAAAAAAAAAGTTAATTCGTATTATTCGATATACTGTAAATAGAATATAAATTATTTCAATTTTTTGAATATAAAATTTGAAAGAAAACAGTAATGTGAAGAAAACAAAGAAAAAACAACAAAAGAAAAAGGAGAAAAAGAGTGAAATAAGTACACTTATACGCATACATACATATTTGAATACTGTTTAATTTCTATATGATACAGTGTTTTTATGTCAAAAAAGTAAGACATTGTTTCATTGAAAATTAACTTACTGGCTATTAGATAAAAAAAAATATTTGATAATAATGGTCAATGCATTATTAATTAAATAAATATCTCTAAAGAGTTCTAGTGGGATTTCGATTAATTTAAAATACGACAGAAATTATGCAACTACCTGATAACACACACTATAATTAAATATAAAAAAAATATTCACAAGGATTTATGTGAAAGTGGTTTTATAATATTTAAAAAAAAAAAAAAATGAAATAAAAAAAATGAAATAAGTATACTAACGCAAATACATTGATATAAAGAAAAGTTACTGTGAATAAAAAAGTGTAGTATACTATACGAACAATAACTTCATAATTATTTTAATTTGCTACAAACTTTGTTCTAAAATATTAAGTCATTGACAGTTATAAAATTGTTGAAAGACTTTGATGAAAAAAAAAAATTTACAACAAAGCAACTTTTCTCATAAAATTCGATTTACTACATCGGTAGGCATAATAAAAATCTTATAGTTGTAACATTTCGTAAGAAAAGAAAGACAAGAAAATAAAATCAAGAATAAAAAAAAATCAAGAAAAATAAAGCGACGAATGAGATAAGTAAACCAACATATATATAAAAGTTCCCAAGGGTGTGAGAGAGAGGGTGTTTCTATAACATTTATGGTTGCTATAACATTTCGAAAGAAAAACCGAATTACAAAAAAGTATAGAAAAAAGAAATCAAGAAAGGGTGAAAGAGGTGAGATAAGTATACTTACGTACCGAATATACATGCATACACACATACATATACTACATATATATATGTATATATAAAAGTCACGAGGGCGATAGAAGAGGGTGATGGTTCTATAAGGACAGTAAGTTTATGCCGAATCGTTCAGAGGGCAGTAGTATCTTTCTAAAATGGCCGTCGTGTCTCGGCATCCCGTGTAAGTCTCGACCCGTCTCGCCACCTGGATTTCAAGTGTACCATCGTCGTCGCTGATCTCGGATGAGAAAAATAGATACAGTGAGTACCACCATACGTGTCAAATATTCTTCTGGTCTACTACAAAATTATTAATTACTAGTGAGTACAACATCTTTTTATATATATCAATATATATTTCGAAAACGTCTACGTTGTGTTTTATGGTTGTGTGTCCTATTGTTGCTAATGTCGAAAAAAAAAACAAAAAGGAATTAATTTCTTTCTTGAGTTTACTACGCAATCGGGGTGGCCGAAGAGACGCGAAGAGTCGATGTTTTCGTGCGCGTTCGTGCGTGAGAGGGAGTAAAAGAGAGAAAGAGAGAGAGAGAAATAGAAACAAATATATACGTAAAAAAGACAGAGAAACAAATAGACAAAGCAGCAGACTCTAGATAGAAAGGTTAGATAGAAAGAGAGAGTGCTACATCGTGGATCAATAAAACGATGGCGGGTGGTTATGTTTTGACGTTCGTATGCGTTTAAGTCTGGACTATCAGACTGCGGTGATAGTCAACAAGATTCAAATTAGGTTACTCCTAATTTTATTTGGTAATTAATTTATTATTTTTTCAATAAATTACTTTTTTTTTTCTGCGATGATACATACGTTTTATATGTACACTTACACATGTTTACAGGAGTGATAATATTTTGACATTTATATTCGTGTAAATCTGAAAGACTAGATTTTAAGGGTAGCTGTTAGAATTTAAATTAGATTAATGACCTTTCTCATTTACTTGACAACTAATTAATTATTTTCTTCGATCGGTTGTTCGTTTTTTGAGATGACACATCTGTTTTATATCTACTTACATATTCATGAGATTAGTTATGTTATGACATTTTGATGTGTGCATGTTTTGATTGTAGGGATGACATAAGTTTCAAAATAGGTTATATCTTATTAATCCAATACCTAATCAATTATTTTCTTGAATCAGTTATTTTACAAATTCACATACAATAGGTTATGTTTTGACGTTGGTAAGCGTATATTATATATGAATTTTAGAAGAAGTTACGACAATTGAAAACAAGGCTATAATTTATTTACACACATCTTCATGTTTTTGTTTTCTAATCAGTTATGTTACAGTACTCTGTGTTGACACATATGCTTTATACGTACTTACATTCTCATACAATATTGCTGTCAGTTTTATACAATGAAATCACTGATTGAACAATTCTGAGCATTCAGATTTATTAGTAGGACTATATATAACAATTTGGTTGAAAACAATGGAAACGGCTGATAGTAGTGTATGCTATCGAATGATTGTGTTCAAATGATTTGATTGTTTTCTGGTAAAAAATCTGGTAGATGGAATATTGATTTTGGGAAGTCGATATTCTGATTATTCAAGAAACAATAGGAAAGTAAATATAAGAACATTGAGAGAAAGATGAGTATACGGTGAAGGAACCGTGTCATGTGAATATAACAGACGATTGATAGCAATTTATAAAAATTTACCGATAGCAGAGATCAGAGATCGTTGATACAGTTTAATTATTTGTTTCATACACTTAGTGCATGTTGTTCTTTGCGAATATGATTACGTAAAGATATATATATACACACACACACATACACCAAAAGCATTTAAAATTTAAAGTAAAGTAATAATACTAATGAATTGAATAATAAATGTGTAATCACAATATTGATGGATAAATATTTACGATCAGAGTTAAAAGCAATTAAGTGTAATTAATAATTCAACTAATTAGTTAAAGTATTTATTGCGTGCAATTTATGTGTTATTTTAAGTTAAAGAATTTTTTATTTAATTTAATTAACTTCACGTTTTCCCAAATATCTCAAAATCAAATCAACATTTTTTTTTTATTTATATGTATGTATTTTCTCAAAAGTTTCACTTACAAAATGTAAAGAGAAATGGCTAAAGTATATTTTAAAAACCTTTTTATAAAGTAACTAATCGAAAAAAGTTGTCAAAATTAAAAATAAAAAAAAAAATATCATCAAACATTGTCTCAATAGTTTCACTTTTAATATGGAATTTAATAGGATGACCCCGAAGCAATATATAAGCAAATTTTGTATCAATCGAGTAATTGATATAAAAATTACATTAATTGAAAACTGAGAAACGTAACAACTTGCCCCGATCACCTTTAAATTTGCAAAACCTAATTGCGCGAGCATGCAATTGGGACAACGTATTCAAGATTAATCTTATAATTGGAGCAATTTTAGAAACTCTGTAGCTGTACCGATGTACATCTACAAAAACTGGTACAGCTTGATAATAGTACTTATCAAACAATGCACAAGATTATCCTTTAGAATTTTAATCTATATGCAAAAGTAATTGTTCTATAAACAATTAATAGATAAACTCTATATACTTATCTCATTTATTTGGTCTCCTTTTTTCAACTTCTTTAAACCGTTTGTATTCTTTCCTTTCGTGAATTGCATATTTTTCAGGTCGTTTTATTATTGACATTACTCTACAATACGACGATTCATTGGCTTTTCTATTTTTCTTTTTTTTTTTCTTTTTCTTCCTCGTCGTCTATTCTTTTCGTTTTCTAGTTTATCTCTCTTTCTCTACACGCCCCCCCTCTCCACTTCCTATTGTCACTACTAAGCGAACAAATTTACTCAATTCCACGCAGTCGAACATGCTAAAGGATTCGAGAGTGAATTGGAGATGATTCAAGTGGTAGAGAAGAGATTCGAGAGAACTGTTCAATGCCAATGACGTGACAGCAAAATTTGGCCATAGTTTTGTTATCCATTATTCTCATTTCACAAATGTCGATATTACGTTTGGAATGATATTAATTGTTGGAAATTATTATCTATAGAATGTTCTGAGGCAGCTTTCTCGTATTATTTTTTATTTGTTTATATATACTTCATTATTCCAAAAGATATCAGATATTTTTTCAATAGTTTAATGTTTATTTACTTATTAGAACTATTATGCTAAAAGGATTTCCTTTGCACAACTAATTTCATTAAAATATTATACTATTTTAAAGTAATTATATTCGAAGTTCAGAATGAAAAGATAGAAGTCCGACAATAAGTAAAAGAAAGGTTTTGAGAGGGAAAATACTTCTTGCAAATCATATAAGTAGCTTAGACATATAATTAATAGATAATTGATCAATTTCAAATATACTGGCGTGTATGAGTGAAAGGAACTTATGTAATTAACCAATCTAGTAATAATTAACCTGTTTTTCTTTTTAAGTTATGTTTTTTCTATTCTCGGAAAAACATCATAAACATATAAAATAAAAACGACATTAAATATTTTTAGAAATAATAATAAAATGTGCATTATATATATAAGTCATAATTATTATATTATTTAGTATGTTCATTCAAATATCAATGAAATTAAGAATTATTTTAAAATTTTTATATTTTATTTCAATTCTTGTCATACTTATTAATGAAACACATTAAGTTGTTGTGTATAATAGCTGGTTAACAATGTGTTAAACGTTTGTAAATGCCACACACAACGTGATCGTCCTATTCACATTTCATATTGAAAAGTGATAGACCAGGTGACCGTGTTGCGCAATTGATGGTGCGCTTCGATTTATCGACACGTATTGAAACAAACGATATCGTTTTGCTTTGACATTTTTCAACATAAATTGAAACAATCGCAATTGTTTATAACTTTTTAAAAAAGTGTTTCTTTTTTTTCAAAAATTCTTAAAACTAAAACGATTAAGTTTTTAAAACAAATTTGTTATCAAAGCTTATGGAATATAATTAAAAAATAATTTTACAAGATTATAATTATAACGAAATATTAAATTGGTACATAAATAATTTAGATTGTTATTATATCGAACTTAAAATTGAGTTTTATAGTTAACTTTTATTAAATTATGGTTAACAATAGGTAATAATGTACTATAAAATTGGAACTATTGATTTTTGTAAATATATTACTAATTTCATTGTTTGCTATTGTTCAATTGATGTCTTTAAATCAATTGTAGAAAAATAGAAATTAAATGATTTTCTTTTATGAGTTTAATTTGGCACATAAAGCAATATAATCTAGACGAGATCAGTACCATATTTTTGATCGAGGTACAATTAACAAATTTACAATTTTATATTGGTTGTGAAAATTTCTCGGTAGAAACAAAAACTTTGAAGTTAAAAAAAATGCGAATATCTGTGAACTATTAAAAAGAATGATTTGAGAGATATTATCAAAACTAATTTGAAAGATTACAAAGGAACTGAATGTTGATCATCAAATGATTATTCCCCATGTCCAATAGAATCTACTATTGTTTTTATTCTAACCTAACATTAACACACACCCAAAAAAATAAATAAATAAACGGTGCTTTTTGTACATGGCATTAAAGAAAATGGATTTGATTTCGTCTTAAAACCATTTGGGAAGATTGTGATTACTTCTGCCATTAGAAAGTCGAGAAGATGCTATTACAACGTCATTGTCCTTAACCCATCCTAAGGTTACTTTTTTCTGAAATGAAAGCTTTTAAACGAACGAGAGAAAGGGAATATCCGGCATCGAACGGGTGCGAAGTTTGTTTGATGGTTTAGGATTACTTATTGGCACGAATTTGACCCGAATACGGTTAGAATTCGAGCCGTGAAACCGTGAAGCAGTTTTCCGCAAACTCTGAAGAAGACAGCTTACATGATGATCTACCATGATGGTCCAAAACTACTTCCCTTTCTCTTTCTTTTTACTGCATTTTTCGTTTATCTTTTGATGGCTTATCGAATGTCTTGTTGAATCCTATATAACAAATGATTATCAATATAGTTTTGAGAAATTCAGACACCTCAGAGTGTTAACATCGGTGAGAAATAAGATTTGTTGTTTATACAACATTTTAACATTCATTATTCAAAACGACGAGTAATGTTTTTCTTTCTGTTTCCTTTTTTTTTTTTTTTATCCAAAGAAGGAAAAAACTTGTTGTATGTGCCAAAAAAAGAATTACTCGCACGATTTATTATGAAATATGTTTTATTCCTACTATCTTCATTCGTACTTGAGTACTTTCTTTTCGATTCGTGCCAAGTTTATAAACCATTTGCATCCACA